CAAAATTAATTTTTCATTAATAAAATTAATAAATAAAGTAGAACATGATAAATATAGTTAAATTATTCGAGAAATTGTGAATCTCACTGGCTATTGTAGTGATGAGGAGAGGGCGGAGTATTATTTCTTCTTTTTGGTTTTGGCTAATTCATATGAGAGTTTGCTATTTATTAGAGTTTTATTAAATTAAACTAAGTTTAAAACTTAGCATTAGAGTATTTTGTACTAAAATAATAGATCAATCGTGGTTAGAAATCAGGCTTGACATATTGTTCCAACCCGAGTCTCGATTTATGTTTAGAAAAAAAACAAAAATTGTAAAACAATAATGAAGGTCGTACCGATAAAGTTAACATTAAGGTATTTTGTGCTAAAATCGTGATTAAATCCGACTTGACACGTTGCTCCAACCCGAGCCTCAAAGCATGTTCATAAAAATAAAAAAATTGTAATATTATACCGAAGGTCGTACCAGAAAAATTAGCATTAGGTCATTTTGTGCTAAAATTGTACTTTAGTCGTGGTTAAATCATTTCATAAAGCTAAAATCACCTATCAATTTAGATTTCGTTAGAAGTTTTTCTATTGGTCCGCCATTACGGTACAATTGTAGTCCAACCGTGGTTAAATCAGGCTAGACACATTGCTCCAACCCGAGTCTCGATTTATGCTAAATAATACCTAAAATGGTACAACCATACCAAATGTCATACACAAAAAGTTAACATTAGGGTATTTTGTGCTAAAATCATAATTCTACCATGAGCCTTGACACGTTGCTCCAACCCGAGCATCAATTTATGTTCAGAAAAAACCAAAAATTGTAAAACCATTCCTAAGGTCATACCGAAAAAGTTAGCATTAGATTAATTTGTGCTAAAATTGTAGTTCAACCGTAGTTAAAATCAGGCTTGACAGTTGCTCCAACCCGAGCCTCGATGTACATAGAAAATCCTAAAATTTTAAAACCACACCGAAGTTCATACCCGTAAAGTTAGCAATATGATATTTTGTGCTAAAATCATAGTTCGGTCGTAGTTAAACCAGGCTTGAGACGTTGCTCCAACCCCAGTCTTGATGTATATTCAGAAAATTCCAAAATTTGTAAAACCATATCGAAGATCGTACAGAAAATGTTAGAATGGGGACATTTTATGATAAAATCGTAGTTCTATCTTGATTAAATCATTACATACAGCTAAAATCACCTATCACGTTAAATTATGTTAGGAGGTTCTATTATACCGCTGCTAAATACGCTCATAAATCAACTACGGGTTAACAAACAATTCTTCTAATCCTATCAAAAGCCGCAACAAAGTGCGGCCATAATCTACCTAGTATATAATAATGAGTAGAACAATCTCTATTGGCTCGGGCGAAGAATGAATTACACAAATGTTTTTAGAATATGGATCGTGAAATTATTTACTAGTTTTTAAAACATTTTATTTTGCTTGGTCGAATTGGTTGAATGGTAACTTTGATATTTTGTGTTTTATAAGTTGGATTTTTACTAATATTTTTCTGCATGAAATCAATAATGGTATAGTTAAAAACTTTTTATTTAATTCAATGTTGAACGCATTTCAAACACGATTTGGGATCAAAGTCAAGTTATCTCTAAAGATTTGAATACGATATTCCAAATATACGAATTCATTTCACAATAAACTATATACAAGAATTAATTTTATTCTCAAATAATTTTATTCCAAAACGTGATTAACTATGTATGGCATCTAAGAATACAATAGCAAAAAGAACCGGCAATATTCCACACAAAAAAAAAGTTGATATGAACCATCCTCGTCAACCTCCATATATATAACAATAACAATTGAAGCTTGAGCATTCCCAGGAAACAAAGTAGTACCGCCGCCGGCGTTACCCCTTTTGGATTTCACAAGTTGCCCACAAACTTAAAAAATAAAATGAGTGCCACCCACCATCAATTAATTAATCTGGGCCCTTCTACAATCCATATCTCAGGCCGGCCCAGAGCCGTTTTGCCCAATGAGAATAAAAAATGTTGGTTCATTTTAGGCAACCGATGCGGCCCAACGGGATCTACGAGCACCAGCCTGTTATCCTTCCACTGTCTGAAGGGAGAGGTTGTCGCTGCTCTGTGAAACCATCCTGACGCGGTGCCCTACGCTCTAGGAGAACGGCCTCCTCAGACTTTCGACAAGGAAGCAGAACTCCAACTTCAAGCTTGGAACGGGCAGGCCGGGGTTCAGCTACACAAGGCCCAACCTCATCAGTCAGCCTCAATGTCCCAACACTTTAATGCTCCCACTTGGGTCACAAGCCCGCATTACCGAACTCAGCGACTACATTGGTTTCCGTGCTAATTAAATACATAATTAGTATCTTAATAGTCTACGATGTGGGATTAAGATTTGAGTTTCATTGAAATACAGGTGAAGCTTTTCCGACAATGGACGCTAAAAAGAACCTGTTAGCTAAGCTTTGGAAGATTTGGTTGCTTAACAATTGGCAGAATTATATGATTGTAATGGATTTAACTATTTCAGAATCTAAAGGTGAAAATATATGGGTTGTTCTAATCGCATCAAACACCTAATTAAACTTGGAAGTTTTAACTGTCCTCAGATCCAATTTCCAATGGTTTGCAGAAATAAAACAGAAAAAGAGGCAGACCAGTACAACCATGAGAAAGTCTGAAATTCAGATGTAGAGTAGAAGTTATTCAAAATACCGAAAGAGTATCGAATGGCCACAGTCTTCTCTACTACTACTGCAGAAACTTGTAAAAAGTCATGAACAAAGCATGAAGGTAATTAACTAAGTTATCAACTCGCGAAGATATCATAGTCGTCTCTTTGTCTCTCACAATCCTTCAAATGTAGATCATCTAACTATACGCATCGTTAGTGATGGAGCCAGAAATTCGAATGAGCAGAGCTAAAAATTTACGAATAGAAAATTCAAACTGGTAGGGAACTAACACCTTATCAACTACTATATTTTGTTAGATTATTACAAAATTTACATGATTATGTGAGTTGAAAGGGGTCCTTATCAACTACTATATTTTGCCAAATTATTACAAAATTTACATGATTATGTGAGTTGAAAGGGGTATAGCCTCCACTGCGAATTCCTACCCAGCGGTTTCTTCCATACCTACTTAACCGACCAACTGAAGCATCACCACCTTATTTAAGCTTTCTTGTACCATCATCATCTCTCCCTCCTACAACACAATAATAACAGAAATTAAGTAACTCATGTAACTAATGGCAAAGAAAGTAAATTTGGTAGTGAGCACCTTTGGTAGAGTTGTAACTAATGGAATATTGAATAGTTCGGGAAATAAATAGCGATTTCTTGATAGTTCAGGTTTTCAAGTGATATTGTTCCTTTGTTTTATTGGTTAGTATTTTTTCATGATATGTTTTGTATACTTTGTAACATTAGTTTGTATATTTTTTTCACGACATGATTTGTATACTTTTATATTATGATTTGTATACCATCTATTATTAGTTCGTGTACTTTTGTTTTATGGTTTGTATGCTTTTTAATTATAGTTTGCATACTTTTCTTATATGCTTTGTATACTTTAGGATGAAACTTTATAATATCTGTATAATAAAAAATATAAAGAAATTAAAAGCGAAAAAAGAGGGCTGGTAAAAAAAGCAAGAGGGGGACGCTCGAAAGTGATGGGCGAGAAAGGAAAAAAGAAAATAAATAAAAATTAAATTTTCTTAACATCATAGTTACCTCTATTATTAATGACCATTAGATTTGTATATCTAGATCTAAAGGTTATGAAATGTTTAACCACTTGACTAAAGGCACTGTAGATCTGCACTCCAATTCAAGGGCCCAAAACATCAACTAAAGGAGAGTTACAAAAGAGCACATGAAGATAGACCTATGGTTTGTTTGGATTGATGATTTGAGTGTGTTATTTGATCCAAATAACATATTTGCCTGGAGAAAAAAGGATGCAACATTTGACACACCTGTTATCCTCCAAATGCCACAAACTTGTTATTTGACAAATACAAGAGGGAGAGTTGATATTCTCTAAATAACGAGTTATTGTCTTTTTTGTTCTAATTATTCTCTCAATTCCTTTTTATGTAGCCTCTCATCTTTAGTCCAACTTTTTGTCTCTTCTTCCCCAATTATCCCAATATATAACCATATTAGTACATATAAACTCAATATGTCTTGTAGCCCCTATAACCTTAATTATGTTTAACACTAACAAAAACTCAATGTGTCTTGACACACTATTCTATTAAAAGATATATAAATACTGTACATATTAGTACCATATACATAATACATTTTAAAAAAATATTTTTATAACTAATTTTGATTTACAATGTCGTATAGCACTCCGTACATATTAATAGTATAACATATGTATGTTGACCAAGCATGCACGCATACTAGCAAGAGATTGGATTAAGAAGGAAAAATTGACAAAATAACAAATTTGAGTACATCAACAATACCACTACGTACTTATAACTCATCTCATCTAAATGTGATATTTCGTATAAATGTCATATATTGTAACATGTGGTATTTGTTTAGGGCAGTCACACATCCGGGGCAAAAAAGTAACTTCTTATTAAAAGTTTTCATTTGAGAAATCTTCATAATTTTTTACTTCTATATGCAACACATGCTTGCATAAATAATACCATCGACTAAGAACACTAATCTCATAGTGTAATATACAGTCCGCACATAATTAATAGTTTAAGACCCTCAGAAATGACTTCACAAGAACATGAAAATCTGAATAATTTTCACTCAAAAAAAAAAAAAATCTGAATAATTTGCACCACCATCGCACCAAAATCAATTCTTATAAATTTAAATCAAGAGTGAAATCACGGATCGTGTAACGAATATAACTAGATTAAAACTGCTAAGCATGGTTTCCGGTAACGTTAATTAAGGAGACATAACCATAACCGTAAATCACAATCAATTTCCCCTGATCATCATCAGTTCATCATCCTCTGAAACTCGGGGAAATCCAGCACGCCGTCGCCGTCGAGATCAAACGGCCGGATCATCGCCGTGCACTCGTCCAGCGACTTCCGATCCCCCAGCCGCACCAGCATCCGCTGCAAACCCCTCGGGGTAATACACCCTTCCCCCTTATCCTCCTCGAACATCTCGAACGCCCGCCGGAGATCCCCGTCGAACTCCTTCCCGTCCCCGCCGTCCACCATCCGTACGAAGTCCCCGAACCCCAGCGTCCCGTCGCCGTCCCCGTCGAACTCCCCGATCACCCTCTCCGCGTCCTCCCTCGACATCGCCTCCCCCGTCGTCGACGCGAAGTACATCCCCAGCTCCACGGCGGAGATCCTCCCGTCGCCGTCGCGGTCGAAGTGGCGGAACACCCGGAGCAGGTCCGCCTCCTTGCGCGGCGGAGCCGGGGAGGCGGAGGGGCTGGGGTTTGGGCTGGGCTTATTGGGTTTGTTGTTGGTGTGGATGGAGCGGAGTAAAGGAAGGCTGAGTTTGAATCCTTTCCCCGAGGAAGACCTCTTGGTCGGAGAGCTGACGGCGGCGGCAGCGGCGGTGGTTGTTGCCATTTTGAGTGTGGATAAAGTGAATTAGAGAACTGTTTGATCTCTAAGTTGTGGGAGGAGATGGTTATAATGGGCGGAAGGGAAGGTGCGGTTTTTTTGGAGTTAGTTTCGTGGAGAAATTGCGATGCAGTTTCGTGGGTTTGGTTTTTTTTTTTTCCTTTTATTAATGGAATTTATTTTTGGGAATGATCGATAGGAATGGAACTAGAAATGGGCTAGGGGACGAGCGGCCGAATTTATGTGTTTGGTTTGGTTTGAACTGCAAATTTGGCAATTGTCGCTGTGGGTGGGGACGGAAGGAAAAGGCGAGAGACCATAGTCGTTGAGCTTGCGCCAACTTTCGGGAAAGTTCAACGAAGCTTCTTTTCCTATACAATTGATGAATGATGATGATGATGATGGGACTTTGATCATTTATGTGGCTTAAGGTCCTAGGTTCCATCAATGTTGCTATTGTGCTGATGAGAAGGAATAGATCTCAACCCAATCGGATAACGAAAAGATTGGGCGGCGAGCCACCACACTTAATTCGGGGTTTTTTTTTTTTTTTGTATTCGTTCATTTCATTTGGTGATTATTTGTGTAATTCGGTGCTTATTTATGGGAGTAGTGATGGCAATGGGGTGGGCAGGACGGTTATGTCAATACTCATATCTCACCCCATGCTATTATGGGTCGGGACGGGTCGACCCACTATTACATGTTATTTGAAAATAATACAAGCAAAAGTTTACTTTTTACGATAAAACGAAGGAAAAACACTGTATGAATGAAAAATAGTCATATAGAATGGGTAATTTAGTCTAACTAATTGAAAGGCCAAGTCTAACTAGTTGAAAAAACCCAAAATAGAAGAAATATGAATAGATACTATAAAATATTGCGATCAAACGTAGGGGTGTTCGAACGGTTTGGTTACCATGGTAACCGTTTTAACCGGTACTATTTGTATAATTTTGTTTGGTTAATTTGGATAATTGGTTTGGTTAAACTTTTTAGCTCATTTGGTTTAGGTGGTTTGGTTTGGTTTCAGACACTCCTAACCAGTCAAACCAAATTAACCAGTTAAATAATTAGTCATATATCTAACATATATTATATACACATACTTAATACTTTGCATAACCACTCAAGAGTTAACGTTCATCCCTTTTAGACTCATAAAATATAAAGTTCATTATTGCTCATATAGTGTATATTTGTAGATGTAAAATGTAGACCACAACATATGGACGCCTAATATAGATAAATTTTATACATTATGATAGATGAAAACTTGAAAGGAAGGTCATTTCCAGCCTATGATAATTGCTAAGAGACTAAGTCAATTTACACAAACACAACAATTCATTAACTCATACCATTGTCATAAATTTTTGTTAGGTGAATACTTCTATACTAATCGTAAGATAATTGTCTTAGTTGCATGTATTTTTGTTAAGGGTCAACTATAACTACGTCTTGATTATTATGTTTTATTCATTATATAAATTGCGAATTGTTGCATTAACCGAAAAATTTTCATCGTCAATGATAATGTGATTTTATATTGGTTAATCTCTGAATACACAGCAAAAACCCACGCCCCCGTTCTTAAAAACCCCAGCATCCGAGTTGAGCTTGACAGCACCGACAGGAGGAGGATTCCATTGATGAAGCTGGGATTCATTTTCCGTCGCCCCAGGGTCTGAAGAACCTCGCGGGAGATCTTGGGCCGCGAGATAGGATTCAATCCATGACAGAGCCCGGGGGATAATATGGCCTTCCTCAAGTTTGTTGTTATTATACTTCTGATTACATCTTTCTTTCCAGAGGAACCAAAGGATTGAGGTAAATTTTTGGATTTGTTCAGTACTATTTGGATAATTTTGTTTGGTTAATTTGGATAATTGGGACTGGTTGAAGCAAATCGGAGGAATTTGAGCCCCTTAATTGTCGAATCTGACTGTCAAGTGCTCATCAACAAACTGAGGAGGAAGGAAGAGGATTTCACTGAAATTGGTGCGATGAGATCTTGAGGTTGGCGAAGGTGAATGAAGGGTTGTCAGGGACTCGGGTGATTTGGTCGTTTGCGAGTAGAAAGAAGAACAGGGTTGCTCATTGGTTGGCCCACTCGGGGTCGGTTTGGGATAATCAAGTGGTCTGGACCGATAGTCCACCACTCTCTCTGCTTGCTATGTTAGAAGAAGATTCTTGGCCTTCATTTTTTGCTTGTTTAGCTGTGTTGTTGAAGTAGCTTGAATACAGAACTATGAGCAATTATTTTTTTGTAAACAACGGAATCTCCAGTTTCTCCAATATGTTTTATCATCCAATCTCTTGCTACCAAATCTGACAGTGAGCAAATTGACCCCCCAAATCCCGCCATTTAATTATTATTGATCTGCTTTACCGTTGTACGCAAATAATCTTTGAACATGATGGATTGCAACTGCAAATATGCCATACATTAGTCTCGTCTATCCTTTCGTTACGTATGAACTGGATGATCCACCCGCACAGTTGGATGGTCTGTTACGCGAAGACGTGCTGGGAATCAGTTTCCCAAGGCAAGTGTTACAGGATCGCTAAGCCTGACCTTTGGGTTTCCTGAACTTGACTGAAGATTCTGCAGCAGGCCTACTGTTTATGTACTTGAGCGCCTCCTGTTTGGTTGCTAAGGGGTCGTTTGCTTGATGGATTTGGGTCATGGATTTGGGACTCAAATCCCAAGCATGATGGATTTTAGCCAAGTCCATTGTTTGTTGTCAGGTGTTAAAATCCCCACAGCACAGCCATGGTAAATCTGTTAGGGACTTTAGATACCTGATAAGTTCCCATGTTTGATGTTTCTTCCTCTGCTTAGGCCATCCATACACTCCAGTCAGCCTCCAGCTCTGCCCTTCCTCCTCTATTTTCATATCAATGTAGTTGTCTCCGCTTTCTTTAACTTCCAGATTGATATCCTCCTGCCACAAGACTAACAGTCCTCCTACTCTTCTAGTAGAGCTCACTCCAAACCCTTTGTAACCATGTATCTTCTCCACCACCTCTTCCCATTCTTTTTCCTGCTTCTTAGTCTCCATGAGGAAGACTACTCTGGGGTTTTCCCGTCGTATCAGACGATCCAGCTTTTTAATTGCCAGGGGACTCCCCAAACCCCGACAATTATAGCTAAGATAACTCATTTGGCTGTGCGGGTCTGCCCCTCAGCAGACACCGCCACTCCGCCATCCAATTCATTTGTTTGAGTGTTATCGAATTGCAATGTTCTTGGCTTCTTTGCCACCCCCAAGGTTGGTTCCTCAACTGTTACCCCCTTCTCCTGATCAGTTGCCTGTCTTTTCTGAGGGGTTAAACGTATCCCCCCTGCCACATTACCCTGCCCCTGTTCCTGCCTTCTCCAAACCCTGGCAGTACTCCTACCAATCCTCCCTCCATCCACACTGCCCATCACAAACTTTTGTAAGGCACCCACCTTCCTTTCCCCCATAGTTGCTGGCTGGTTTGGAACATAATTAGGCTTGTGAGTAGGGTTCTTTGTTATAGCTTCAGACCCCTTTTGTGTCTCCATTCGAGATTCTTTCTCAGACTGCTTCTCCTCTTGCATCACTTTTTCATTTGGTACCTCCTCACTGACTCTATTTTCCTCTGTTTCTAATGCCATGTCATGATCTGAATTTGATCCAGTGCTTTCCATTTCAAATTTCTGTTTCAGAGCAGCCCAGACTTCAGCATCTTCCTTCTTGGCTGTGTACGAGAGCCAGTTTTTTGGTCCCGGTGCAGCCACTCTCAGCTCATGGCCAAAAGGATCAACCTCTGGCTTAGGTTCCAGCTTACATCTCAACTTTGGGTGTCCAATCCTTCCACATGTGTAGCAAAACAGTGGTAACTTCTCATACTTTATTGGGTATTCCACTAGTTTCCCTGATATATTCAGCTTGATCTTCCTCTTAAGAGGGTTGTTGATCGATAGATAAACCCTTAGTCGCATATAATCATCCCACATAGTACCAGCTCCATTGTCAAACCAATCAAGTCCTCCAAATCTTGAGGCTATCTTTTCTGCCATTTTTTGTGTTCGTAGTTCCGCTGGTAAACCTTCTACCCTAATCCACAAATCAATCATGTGTAGATCCTCTGGGTTTGGTTTCTGGATAGATGTACTCACCTTGAACACTATAAGGGAGTTTTCATAATGCCATGGCCCTCCAAAACACACTTTGTTTCTATCATCCATATCCAGAAATTGAAAAGCAAACAGCATGTCGCCTAGCTCCGTTATTTGAAAACCTTTTCGTAGCTTCCACGCCTTTGCTAGGGCTATTTTCATTGACTTGATATTTGGCTCTTTTTCAGATAATAGGCGTCCAATCAGCCCCAATCGACGCACCGCCTCCATTCGAAGCACATCAACATCGGAATCTTCAACTTCCAGTGGTTCTTCTTCTTCCTCATCCAACGTGATCTGATTCAGCTGAGCTTCTAGCTCAACAGCAGCCTGAGTTTCCTTGCTTGTGGCCGTGTCTTGCACCGCATCTTCAACAATCTCCATTGTGTATAGACTAACACTGCTTCCCACACAGGATCAAATCAATCCAGCTTCTTGTGTAAAACGTTGTTTAAGCAAAATGTCCAGGATTTCTTGCGCTAGGGTTTTCTTTGTATGCTAGTACTCGTGAAAACCTTAGATTCGCAACACAGCACGCTTCCCTTCGTCAGCTTAAAACGAGACACGAACCGCTACTAGCGCACAACTCGATTCGGTTTAGGACTTCTTTTCCGCAAAGTAAACGTAGTTCTCTTGGTGATCAATGTGACTCTCTCTCGCTTTCCGGAAAAACCCTAGGGTTTCCGCCGCCAAAAGACTCTCGCTAAACGAGAGAAAATCTCGTTACTTCTTAGAAACTATTTTGAAATTACATTGTTTGGTTGTTGAGACTAATATACTTTTTAGTATGATCTAAACATTGTGATTATTTTCTTAGCAACCCATGAACAAGCCTCCAATAATGTGGGAATGATATCGATTCGAATAGTTTTTCTATACCTATCATCCTGTTTTATATTAATAATCATCCCCGTAGCCAAAATTTGACGAAAATGCCAATATAACATCTCAAAATAAACTTGGATGTCGTTTAGGAAAAAAACATATTCACATTATCTCAAGCCAAAAATATCCAAAGTTTTTGGTATAAAGTAAAATTTTACTTAAAATGTCGATGTTAATTGAAATTTCTTGGAGCTTTTGCTGGTAACAATTGGTAAAATAAGTATGATTTTGGGTGTAACAAATAATTATAATACTCGAGGGATTGATGTCCTAAATAGTAAAGTGAGTGAGTTTAGAACAATCTGTAGTGTACTACATGATCAAATGAATTTGATGTGGATACGCAAAATATCAAAACCACATCGAATGTAATGTACTCCTTGTCGTAAATGAAAAATATCAAAATTTACTCATTTGGACGATAAAATCAGGCTAAATTGCAAGTTTGTTCACTTGAATTACTAGTAAAGTTTACCTTAGTCACTCGAATTACTTTATTCCATCCGTAGTCACTTAAATTAGGTTAACAGTCCAAGTTTGGTCACTAACCAACCGTTAGTCTCCGTTAACTTTTGCTGATATGGCAGTCAACTCTAATAGTTAACCGTTAAATGAGTGACGTGACAATTAAAAAATTAATTAAAAATAAATTTATACTTTTCTCATTTCCAACTCATTTATACTTTTCTAATCTCCGACTACATTTGGCTTTCGGTGGCTTCCTTCCGAGAAGAGTATCTGCCCGGGCTTATTTTATGGTAAAACAGGCTTTCCCTCATTACTGGCCCAATCTCGATTAGCCACGAGCCATTGGGCTCGGTTTTACCAAAGCCTTTAAATCCCGGCGTTCGCGTCTCTTTGTTCTGGGCAATCTGAAGTCGAAAACTTCAAAAACTGAAGAAGAAGCACAGAAGTGAAGTAGAGTGCTAAGACCTGAACTGAGCTTTAACCCTGAAGCTCTTCGAAGTTCCGAAAGATGCAGTCTCACCTCCAAACTGCCACATTCGATAAGATACGACGATAGGATGATCTCATTCCTGTCGCAGTCTCAATCCCTCTTCAATGCTCAGGTACTCTTCAATCCGTTCACCTCCTCCCGCGCTTTCATTTCTCCTCTCCCGCCTCCGCCGCCGCCGGTCAATCCACTGCCCCCGCCACGAATCGAAGCTCTCCCACCCCGAACTCCTCGATCGAATCTCCCGTCTCCTCGTGCTCGAGCGTCGCGCTGCCGCGGCCTCAAATTCGACTTCTCCAGTTCTCCGGCGACCTCCTCGACTCTGTTCTTCTGAAACTCAGGCTCAATGCCGGCGCTTGCTTGATCTTCTTCAAATTGGCCGCGTCGCAACCTAATTTCGGACCCGGCGTCAAGTCTTATTGCAAGCTGGTTCACATTCTGTCGAGACCAGGTCGTATTTGACTCATTTGGTTGGGTTGTGCAAGAATAATTTTTCTTCAAGGCTAGTGCGGGATGAGCTCTTTGCGTTTTATCGGGAGTTCGGATTCTCTCCTACTGTGTTCGATATAATACTCAAGGTGTATGCGGAGGAGAAAGGAACGGTGGGGAATGCACTCCAAGTGTTTGATAATATGCTCAAGTACGGTAGAGTGCCGAGCTTGAGTTCGTGTACCAGCTTGTTGGGTAATCTTGTTAGGAAAGGACAGAGATACACTGCCGTGCTTGTTTATGCTCAGATGATGAGGCTGGAGATTGTGCCGGATGTCTTCAGTTGCTTGATCATATGGTCAACGCGTATTGCAAGCAGGGGAGGGTGGATAGAGCAGTGGAGTTTGTTAAAGAGACGGAGCATTCAGGTTTTGAGTTGAATGTAGTGTCGTACAACAGCTTGACTGATGGGTATGTTAGTGTGGGGGATATGGAAGGAGCCTATGGGGTATTGAAGATCATGAAAGCAAATGGTGTTTTGAGAAATGAGGTCACATTTACTTAGGTAATTAAGGGTTATTGTAGAAGATGTAAATTAAAGGAAGCGGAAGAGGTGCTGGGACAGATGAAACAAGAGGGAGTGTCTGTGGATGAATATGCTTATGGTGTGTTGATTGATGGATATTGTCAAGTTGGTAAACTAGCAGATGCTGCTCGGATTCGAGACAAAATGTTGGAGATAGGGTTGAAGATGAATTTATTTGTTTGCAACTCATTCATTAATGGGTACTGTAAGAATGGTCAGTTTTGTGAGGCAGAGATATTGTTGATGCAAATGAGAGACTGGAAACTAAAGCCGAATTCCTATAGTTATTGTACTCTTGTTGATGGATACTGTAGAGAAGGCCTTATTGGCAAAGCTTTCAGTGTTTGCGAAGATATGATTAATTATGGCACTGAACCAAGTGTCGTAACTTACAACGTTCTTCTAAAAGGCCTATCCTGTGTTGGTAACCTTGAAGATGCTTTGCTATTCTGGAATTTGATGCTAAAGAGACACGTGGATCCAAAGTAGATCAACTATTGTACTTTGCTTGACCCACTTTTCAAAATGGGGGACTCTTCAAGGGCTTTAACCTTGTGAAGTGATATATATCCTGGCTAGGGGGCTTACCAAAAGCACATATGCTTTCAATAATAATGATCAATGGGTTGTCTAAGGTAGGTAAAATGGATGAAGCTGAGCAGATCTTTGCCAAAATGGTGGAATTCGGTTGTAAGTCTGATGGCATAACATTCAGAACCGTGGGTGATGGGTACTGCAAAGCTGGAAATGTTGAAGAAGCACTTGAAGTCAAAGAGAAGAGGGAAAAGGATGCAATTTCTCCTTCAGTTGAAATGTATAACTCTCTCATTACAGCACTTTTCAAATGCGGGAAAGTGAGTAAGCTTGTGGACCTCCTGTGAGAAATGAATAAACAGGAGATAGCACCAAATATCATCACCTATGGGGCTATAATTTCTGGCTGGTGTGATGAAGGCAGGCTGGATAGAGCTTTCAATACAGATTTTGAGATGATAGCGAATAAATTTGCTCCAAATTTGATTATCTGTGGCAAAATTATCAGTAGCCTCTACAGTGTTGGCAGGATAGAAGAAGCAAATATACTGTTGCAGAAGATTTTCGATCTCAGCGTTTTAGACCTGAACTTTTTTGAACAGTCTCAACAGAATGACTAAAGATATTTAGATTGTGAGAAGATTGCCGGTACCATTGTTCAAAATGGTACATGTTTCTCTCCACCCAACAATGTGTTATACAATATTGCTATTGCTGGGGTTTGTACATCCGCCAAAATTGATGACGCTAGAAATTTCTTCTCCAGTTTATTGCATAGAGGTTTCTTTTCAGATAACTTCACTTACTGCACTCTAATTCATGGATGTTCTGCAGCAGGTAATGTGGATGAAGCCTTCAGATTGTGTGATGAAATGGTGAACTATGGTATAGTAGCAAACATAACCACGTACAATGCCTTGATGAATGGCCTACGTAAATCAGGAAACATGAGTCGAGCACAAAGGCTTTTTGATAAACTTCATGCTAAAGGTCTTGCTCCAAATGTTGTCTCTTACAATATTTTGAATTTTGATAGATGGTTACTGTAGACGTAGAGAGACTGAGAATGTTAAATGACGGAATTTATCCTTCCACCATTACATACTCTTCTCTGATAAATGGTTTCTGTAAGCAAGTAGACTTTGGAAACTCTGTGAAGCTATTGGATGAGATGACGGAGAGATTTTCTGATCTCAACCTAGCCCCATACCACAAATTAGTTGAAGATTGCATTAAGCGTAGAGAAACAAAGAACATCTCTAGGATTAATGACATAGCATATGCCTATTCATGTGCTGGTGTTAGTCCTTATAAACAGAAGGAGTTATTGGGGATCTCCGCTGCTGAATACACACTGAAGTAAAACTCTTTGTATGGACCTGAGCTGTATGTTTATGGATGCTTGCTGGTCTTATGAATTGTCAAAAGGATTGTTTTCAATGGTTTTACGTTGCTTCAACCTGTCCTCTTCAAAGACTCATAATTATGGATAGATAGAAGGCTTTCGAAGTACTCCTGTGAACTTATGCCTGTAAGGGGGCCTGTGGTGACTGGTTCTTCGATAAGGGGCCATGTGGTGAGGTATGATGAGAGCAGCTGGTTTCTTCTTGCTGAAAATTTATAGCTCTAGCCAGTGTTTCTCTGTCAAGAATTGGATTCCACAAAGGGCTTACCAACTTAAAATCAGATAATTGGAAAGCAGCAACTGCAGCATTTGAAAATCAGTTCAGGTAAATACTGAATTAAGTCAGATACACCTTGCAAAAGCTGCTCTTATGACTACTACTCCCCTCCTGATCATTTGCGTTTGTTGAAGCCCTTTGTCAGGTGCTCTGTATACTGTGGAATTGACATGTAAAGCCAATCTAACGTATTGTTGCAGGTAGTTTTTCCTGTGCTATTTGCAACCTTGTCAAAGTCGGTCCATGGATTCTCAGAGGCACTCCGACTCTTAAGGTATCTGCTTACATGTTGATGAGAATCATTTTCTATCTTATCGGCCTGGTGAGTTGAATTCGAATTCGGATTTGTTGGTGCAGCACTCTCTATTTCGAAGATTCGAACAATACGGTGAAGTCATTCACTTGTAAGTGCACAAGGATGGGACTTTCTGCCGATTTGATCTGAGGTGCCCTTCTTCATACTAGACTGGTTTCCTTTCTCCTTCCTTTGATTGACACTTGAAGTCAGTCATACTAGATGTGCATTGTAGTGTGAATACGTTTAATTTCGTTAATTATCTGAGTAAAATCTATTATGAGCTGAAAGAAATGTCAAAGCAGTTCATTAACATTAATGTGATCTACTAATCATCATAGCAACTGCTTAATATTACCCTGTTTGAAACAGGTACTTGCTCGGCGTGACCATAACCTAACTGGAGCATATCACAATAAATCATAGTTGTGCCAAGCTTTGGGTGTCCGTCCACTTCATAGGCCTATATTCAACATGGCGCGTCGCAATCATCAAATTTTAGCCTGTAGTACTTTGTTGTCTGGCAGACGCTACTGGGCGGGAATATTTGGACGCTAAGAAGGTGGATCTCAGTTGGCATAGCAGCAAGGTAAATACTTTGATAAATGCTGGCAGTAGGAAATAGTTGTTGAAGATGAAACTAGTGAAGAATAAAACCATGAAACATAGTAAGAATCGTTACTAGTGAAATCCTCAGAGATTTTAGGTTCCTTTGACTATTTTATTATCCTGTGTGCTCGTGAAAGGCTAAACAACTGCTTTGGCTACTTTAGTTGTTTGCTAAGTCGGGAGTTCTCACTAGCGAACGAGCTTTGTTTTGCTTTTATCACCTTCATGGAATCTCCCTTTCTTTTACCTGTACTGGACATTTTCTTTAGACTCCTAAGACGACATGCCTAGATTGCCGACACATGTATTTTTGCTGTGGCGAAGATACTAAGCACATGACTATTCAAAGAAAAGAACCATCCTAAGCACATGGCCATCTGGTGGGCAGTATAATCAGAAGTTATTTTGGGCACTAATCAATCAAAGCATTTATGAAAAATGGTTTGCCGTGGATATAGTTAGATTTCACGATCTACATGTACATGGGAAACAGAGTGATAACAGTAATTTTGTCCCTTACCCATTAGATCCTCCAAATCTTCCACTGATGTGGACTGGTGATTAGAAAAAAGAAGAATACTTTTCTAAGTGGGATTATGACACATGATTACTTTCACTCATGTCTAGTGTATTTTGATTATCAAATTGCTAACTTTAGTAATTAGTATGGCTCGCTTTATGAATTTAGAGGAAGAAAGTATCTGGTAAGAACTATTCTGAAACCTACAATGATTCTGTGGGCTAATGGAGTGTGTACTTTTCCAGGGTGTCAAAGGCTGGTTGGCCATGAGAAGCTGCGGTGGCAAGTTGACCAGTCCATCCCTCCTCAAATAAATACAAAGAGCCGAGACTGGAGAGAGGCAAGTTTTCAACCGAAGCTTCTTCAATTTCAAAACCATTAATACTTTGCATACATTCCAAGCATTGACAGCTAGATTTAAGCAAACGTCAGTCACCAAACCAGACTGGTGTGTTTCGTACTACTAAATAAAAATATAACATATTGCAAGAGTGATAATGCAACTCGGTTAGCATGCTGATGGGGCTTAGGCGTCAACGCTTGCTGACATCGTTGAATTCGCACGCCCAGGGATCCTCAGCCTTGCATCGAATGGTTGTGGATCGAAGGGCACGCGATGAAACAGCATCAGCATCTTGGCGAAATTCATGGTCATCGTGAAAGATGCTGCAGACAACTGAACATGTTTGCTTAATGTTGAAAAGAATGATACCAACCAACCCTGCATCAACCCTGAAAACTGCATGTAGATAGCTACATCGCATCTAAAGTTGAAAGCTCAATCTGGGGGGGGGGGGGGGGGGGGGAAACACCCATTCATAATAAGTCGTATATCTCATTGTTGGAGAAGAGGAAATTGAAATTTCACTCTGTTTTCTTACTGGAGTTGGTGGGAGAAAGGCATCCCTCGTCTAATAAAACTAACTGCTGGTTTTCCCTTGCAATTGCAGCCAGCCTTCCTTCGTCCCCACATGGAGAAAGTTTAAAACGATGACCAAGTTCCTCCCTGTGGCTGCCCTTTCAAGTCATGTTCCTGCAACCTAACAATCTTCCTTTACCCAAAGGTACGTTATCAACTTTGCTGTAGACGGGAGCACATATACTAGGAAGTTACTGTCGAACATGGCTGAAAGGTTCATCATAGCTCATTCGGCCATCCCATAAGCGTCATCTAGTGATAAAAAAGTTGGTAGGGGTTTACATAGGAACGGACGACTCGCTTGAATCATATCTTAATCCACACAACTCGATACCTTAGATATGGGAAACTATCGAGTTTCATGTGGTCAACTCTATACATGGCCCTTTGACCCATTAAGGGAGTCAGTATGATTGAGAATTGCACCGTACCAAGAAAGTAAGTTGCAGCTAGAAATGAAGCTGCATACTCTCACATCATAATTCAAACTCTCTTTGTGCTCGTTATTTTAGCGACGTTGTTCCACGTTTCAATGTGCATAGAAACCTCTACATTGGGGGTTGGGTTTAGCTGCACCAAATAGCGTTTCGGTTTGGCTCGGTTCGTGGTTGTATGGTGCGTTCAACCACACTAAATGGCTACCCCTACTACTAGTCATGATCCAGGTAATAGGGATGACAATAAAACCCGAACACGCGGGTACCCTACCCGACCTAACCCGGTCAACGCGGGTAAAACCCGCGTTGATGGGTTTTGGGCCGGGTTTGGGTTTAAATCCGTTCACTATTCACCATATTGGGTTGGGTTTGGGATAGGTAAACTCGCCCCATGGGTACCCGCCCACACCCATATAATTAATTTTTCCGATATATTTAATATTCTAAACAACTAATTGTTTTTATGTTTGTGGAGACATGTTTAATTTTTCTTTCTAATTGTGTAGAAATAGAATGAAGTTGATATTATCGAGTGGAGAGTGAAGAAGCTTTCAATTAATCATGTTGTTTATGGATAATTTGTGATTTGCTTCAATTTTCTTGATTTTTCTAGATTGGTGTTGACCAATTTGTATGGTTAATTTGTGATTTGCTTGAATTTTCTAGAATGGTGTTTTATATATGGATAATTTGTATTGAGAGATTGATATTTGACTTTTATTTTGATAGGAACTTGTTATTGTAAATTTTTTACGACAAAAACCCAAGGGTTCAAGCGGATACTCAGCGAGTTGGGTTGGGTTGGATTTGAGTTTTTCAAACCCAATAAATTTTATCCGAGTTTTCTTCACTGATAAACCCATGGGTACCATTGCCATCCCTAAACACAATCCGATCATTTGATGCTTCTGCTATTATTTCATTGATTGACAGTAATATCTTAGGGAAAGATTCTTGTGGGTTTGATTAGGCAATTAGGGAGCAGAGTCTTTCGTCAATCTGGTTCACTACTTGATTTGGGATGATTTTGATGAACAGGGGAAAAAACAAGGTAGGGCCCACATCCTACGACTTTTAAGTTTTTTTTTTTTTTGGGCTGTTGATGAATCTTTTTAAGTTATTTTCCCTGTCGGTACTAAAAAGAATTTAGGACTAGTCTGTCCGGTTCGCATAGAAGTCCAACCCACACCGCCAGGCGGCAATCGTTAATTCAGCCACGTTCCTCGCCTGTTGTTGGGTGTTTTCAGGTTCATTGCTTGCACTTCCTTTCTCAATAGTTTCTCCACCGACAGTATCCCTATTTTATTTTTATTTTTACCTTCTGCCCTATCCTCAGAAAACAGATAGATTAGACAAATCGGTTTTATGTTTTGAGAAGTTAATTTCCCATTTTATATATAAATAAATGGGGAATTATGTGGGGAAAAGGTTGACCCCATTGTGTAACATAATCGAAAGCCACGATCAGTGTATACATTTTCTCCACTGCATGAAAAAGGCTTTCACCCAACAATGGCTTTTGGATTCTTGGAAAGGTTGTGGTGATGTGATCAGGAAACAACTATAATTTTGTCATTTACAATAATTGTCTCTCGACTTTGATTAGCCATCATTGTTTTCACTCAATGGTTAAAAAAGAAAGTATTGGTTTTGGACAGAAAGATTTATAGTTCAAATCTCATTAGCATCATATTTAAAATATTGAGTTGAAGAAAGACGTTAAACTAGTTGTGGGCATTGGGGTCCTATTAGTGATGGCAATTTCAACCCGCCCCACGGGTATTACCTGATCTGATCCGTGATGGGGCGAGTATTACCCGACCCGCAGTAGCAAGGGGCGGGGCATGGGTATCTACTTCCGACCCGCCCTGCCCCGCCCCGCCCCGTTCTAGACTCATTTTATCTTAATTTCTTACAATATGTATACATATTTCTTCTATTTTGACTTTTCTTCAACTAGTTAGAGTCGATCTTTCAACTTGTTGGACTCAATTATCCATTCTATTATCAATATTTTTCATCTTAAAGTGTTTTTTCCTATGTTTTATTGTAAAAAGTAAAATTTACTTGTATTTTTTTAACATGTAAGAGTGGGTCGACCCGCCCCGACCCGTAGTAGCGTGGGGCGGGGCATGGGAATTGAGGTACCCGCCCCGCCCTATTGCCATCATTCCTATCTTGCGTCTAAGACGTCGCTTAGGCATTTCAACTTCTACCCTATCAAAATATGTTGTGATTTGAAAAGGAGACCAATGCAGAGGGTCGGGTCGATTAGATCTAGAAAAAATTGGAAACTACGGTAGTCGACGATGAAGAGAGCAAGGGAGAAAGTCAAGTCGGTCGAAGTTGGATAATAATTGAAGAAGTGTTATGAATTCCTCAAGGGAGAGGGGCAAGTCGATCGGAGTTGGGTAATAATTGAAGAAGTGTTATGAATACCTCAACTTGATTAATCCGTGTGTTATGAATTTTTTTTTTATCAATTACCTCTACAATTATAATTCTTCCAATCAAAGGAATAAGCATATAAATCATAAAATATATGCCACTAACAAAGCAAATACGATAGACATAGTACAGCAATCCTTGATTCGCCCTAATTTTGTGTTCTTTTTCTAAAACGATGAATAGGGTAATATATTTGGTGTTTCCGTCTTGGATTTTGCCATCTATCTAAATTGTGGAGACAAAAAATCAGATGTCATTGTCTGATTCTTCTTTTTCTACGTGTTCTTTTATCAGAGAAATAGCCCGGCTAGTGGAATCTATCAGAGGAAAACGAGAAAGCTGACTGATGAAGAAGAAAGGAAGGCCTTTTTGGCAAACGAAATTGTTGTATATGATTGATTGGCCATTCTCCCTTCTCTTTGGGGGCTTTGGCTCTCTTATTATTCACGTCCACGGTTCATATTTTGATCATCTTGGTGACCTTTCTTCGAATACAATCCTTTTAAGGGGAAAACGTGATTCTTTAGCTTATGTTGTAATAATGCATGCATGTGAGGTGCATATACTGTGCATTTTCATGTATCAAGTGTAATTTATTGTTGATTGGCAAGAGAAGTACTTCAATCAAATTGATGTAGTAATTGTGTTTGTGTTGAGTATTTTCTGTTATATCTTCTCTGTACTGAGAGCAGGTAACTAACTGCGAATGAGGAGTTGATCTAGTGGTTTTATTATGATTCTTCAATATAGAGGTTGGCAGGTTGCAGTTTCTAATTTTTCGTGGAACAACAAAAATAAATTGATAGCATTCTCATAAAAGCGGTAACTACATTCTACAGTGGTCACTTAGCAACATATCCCGATTAATAAAAAAAATGTGGTGGTTTCTATTTTTTTCACTTGATTGTTTCAATCGAGGTTTTTAGAATCATCTACTACCAACTTTTTAGGGTTAAACGAGCGGGAAAAAATCATTTACTATAGTAGTGACTAATCTTTCATAACAAGTTTCATGAACCTATCAATGACTTCTCAAATAATAAACTCTAATCTCATGACTCATTATTAAACAACGAGACGAGGAACCACCACGCCATGGCGTTGGTGCCCAAATTATTGTTTGATTAACAATGAGAAACAAAATGATGTTCACTCTAACATTTGTATTTATCAATGCCTAATTTATTCTATAGGCCTTGTCATTTCAAATCTATGTACCTATTCTTAAATACATTGTATAATTCAATATTTTGTTTATATACCAAGAAGAAAAAGGAATCATTTAACACTAATTAATTCATACTAGTTAGAGGGTCCAAATCACCAATCAAAAGCTTCCTCATTCCATCTTTTTCTCTAGCCGTCTCAATAACCTCTCATCATCTAAATTGGAACATACGGAACCAACCAACATACCTGGTCGCAAAAAGTAATCCAGCCTAGCTTTCCTTAGAAACCCATTATTAATAACCAATTTCCAATTATGCAATTTAAACCCCCTCCATAATTACACCTAACCAAGTAATCAACCACTAATCAGAAGTTAATCCACTCTCAACAGGGATGTGGAATAGAATGAGGATTGCGCATTATATCTAATCGAAAACTTTGAATCCGATCTTCAAAAAAAAAAACAAAAAAAAAACTTTGAATCCGAAATTCGACGATAGAACATTAAAAACTTACTGTTCAACATTAACTAATATCTTATTGCAGAGTTCACTGATTCATTCATTCATAATCATTCATCCAACACGCCCAGAATATGCTCTTTTTAGCTATACAGTCTTTCGTCGTTAACATGGGTAAAAAAAAAACAGTAAGAAAACGACAGTAAAAAAAAGTTTATTTTTTTCCCCCACTTCACAAAATCAAAATTCACAGAGAAGTTGATATGTGTATAGACAAACAGTAAAAAAAAAATTATTAACTTCTGTATAACCTTCCCCTCTTTTCCATCTACATCCTTCCTTCCGCTACTACACAATTCCACCCGTGTCGGCCGCCGGAATCTCGACATCCCGATATCTCCGGCCGTCCGCCGGCCTATAATCCCGCCTCGGATTCGTTCAATTCGTGCCGCCATTTACGGGTTTCTTTCACCTTTCCGCGTTTCCCCGCCCCAAATCTCCGTCAGGAATCCAAAGCGAACGGCGTCTGCAACAGATCGTACGGAGCCCAGAGCGCGTCAAGCGGACACGGCCGATTGGCGTCGAGCCGGGCCCACGGCTTCCCTTTCCCGCTCCAATGCAGCAAGCTCACCGGCCCCGGATGCAAATCCCGGCAAAGCCCCCTGAAATTGTCCCCTCCCAGGCCGTGCTGGTTCCACCGGTGGTTCACGGGGACGATTTCGCCGGCGAAGACGAGCAAGAAAGGCGGCAGGGAACCCAATTCGTAGATCCGAATTCGCTTCTGCAGCTCCATCCACTCCTCGATTTTGGTTGTATAATCCCCTTCCCTCCACCGATCCAGATCTATCACCATAACCCCGGTGTTGAAATAGCACGCCCTTCTGTCGGCGAAAGTGAGCGACAGAGAAGGGTTGGACCAAAACGTAGGGGTAAAATAGGAAGTGAAATTGGCGTTGCAGTACTCCGGCGCCGCCAGCACCGCCCTCTCCCCGAGGTCGGTCCTTGCCAGCCTGGCAATGTCGTCGACGAGGACGAGGTCGGAGTCGAGGTAGACAATCCGCCGGACACACATGGGGAGTATGTTGGCGAGGTAGCTGCGGGCGTAATTGAGGGGACAGTCGAGCGCGGAGCGGATTGAGGTGGAGATTAGCCGGGCGACGGAGGAGTCGTCGAAGGAGTAGACCCGGAAGTTGAGGTAAGGGAAGGAAGAAGAGATGGTGGCGCGTAGGGCCGACGCGTCGGCGGATTGGGAGGCGACGAAGTGGAAGGCGATGTTCTGCGGGCAGGAGGAGTGCTGGAGGACGGAGAGGATCGCGGCCATGGAGCCGCGGATGTAGGCCGTGTCGAGGGTCATCGCCACGTGGACGGCTCGATCCGAGCAGAATATCGCGCCGCCTACGCGGTCGTCGGCGGCGCCGTCGCGCTCGTCGTCCCAGTCGATTGCGGGACATTCAGGGGAGTTGTAGAATTGGGGGGCTTCTTTGAATTGGTGGGTGGAAGGGTGTGGAAGAGGAGCTCCGACGGTAATGGCGGCGGCGGAGGAGGCGGCATTGGAGGTCAGGAGTAGAATTAGGAAAAAGGGGAGGTGGGGATTTGGGAATCCCGGCATGGGAAGGAATTGTGGGGGAGAAGAAGGAGATTTGCGATGGTGTTCGAATTGGGAAAGGGAAGTAGTAGTGGAAAGGAGTCGAAGGAAGGAAGGAAGTAGAGGAAGGAATTCTTTTTGGAGGGGGGAACTTAGGATCTTGAGGTTCTTCTTTGGACCTTTTTTATTTGCTTCCTTTCTGGCTAGCTGGCTTAATAGTAAGTTACTAGAAGTGTTGAATAAGCCATTTGGTGCTTACTTATAATTTTCAATTTGGGGAGAATGAGGCATTTGATGCTCTTTTATAGGAAGGGCATGGTGGGAATTGGAATCGAGCCGAAATGTATATAAACTGGATCGGTAAATGGAAGAGACGCAGTGATTGTAGGTCGGGTTAAAATGGTATTCAAATTTATTTATGTTTTTTTGGTATGATTTCGAATGAGTGTTGTTTACTTATTTGTTTGTATAAGTTGGTTGGAAGATAAACAAACTCTACGGATTACGGTTTATAAACATAGGATCGAAATTAGGTCGAGTTGTTTAGAATCTGGTCTGACTCCAAATAAGCGTAGAATCGAAACTAGGAAATGAAAGAGATTTAAGGATAAGGACTGAACGAAAACACTATGAGCATTGATATCAAACCGGATTGTATTTGGTTTGATTTGAGTTGGATGTTGGTTTGGTTTGGTCTCAAATGATTCGGTTTGGACTTTGGACGAACCGGATTGTTGCTCTTGCGATGTTATGTGTTGATATATGAAAGAGGGGCAAATGGGGAAACAAGAGGGGGTGGCTGGCAGGGTGGAATAAAATGGAATTGGGTCAATGATTTGGGTTTGGTTTGGTTTGTTTGGAGTCTTGTGGTTGGGAAAGGGAGTTGGTTTGCATCTTTCACATTTGGTTGTGGACTGGAAGCCTGTCGCCTCCTCCCCCTTAGAAAATGGGTCCCAAACGACTAAAAATAGTGTTTTGTGAATTGTTTAAAATTATGGTTGATGATACTGATATCCAATTGTTAATCAAGTTTCCAAATGGTTGTTTTGGGACTCACTTTTACTTGGTATTTATTTGTTATAAATTATTGCCATACCATTTGAGCATTGGTAAATCAAGCAGCATGCATTTCCATTTTTCTAATTTTGTTTTTTTAGATAAGGGTGATATATGTTATTTTTTTGTTATTAGGTACTACTGAAGGGACTCGAACCTGGGACCTCCAGGTTCATGGCTAGTGGTATTAGCACTAGACCAATCCCTTGTTCGTTCCATTTTTCTAATTTTGATCAAGTGGTGTGGAGAAGGTAACTTCTACCACATACCAAGAGAGTAAAAATGGGGATAGAAAAAAATGTCAAAGAGGGAATGGATGGAAATCAGCATCTAATACCTACCATTACCAATGCAGTTTAAAATGTCATTTTTCACTCAAATAAGAAACTTCACCCCCTCCCCTTTCAGTTTTACTGGCTTCCCATTTTTACCAAATCCTAAATACAATGTTGGGTAGTTTCGTATTTGGGCTATCTTGCTTGGCTACCTTCGTAGGTACGTGATTAGCGATAAGACAGGTTTAGTTCGCTTAGGACGTGAAAAAGCTGAGTAGTTATGGTGTATCTACGCTGCTGATTTACGTCGTCACGGTCATCTGATTAAAATAAAATCTAATGATTGAAAAAATATACGAATACAGTTACGCCTCTTTCAATTCGACAACCATAGAGAATCGGACAATATATTTCTGTACATAAATACAGTTTTGATGTGAGTGTTCATCTTTAACTTTTTTGAATGAGAGTGTTCGTCTTTAATTTAATACAAAGTTGGGCAAAAATTGACATTTTTATCTTGATGAGGAAAAACAGCACTTGATTAATAATAATAAAAACAGCACTTTGCCACTTTGGTTAAAACGCCTTAATTACTAAGAGGGATTTGGGTTAACTTAGCTGGAGCGACAGCCTACAACTACAAGGAACAAAATCTCAGAAAGCGCGGGAGGTGGGTTATTTAATTGATCAAATCTTTTAATTAAAGTTTTCTCTTTTCTTCCACTTTGGGATTCACTGACAGCTTCAGTCGTCTGAATGAATAATCAGCAACAACAATAATAATATGAACAGAAAACTGTGAAAATATCACAGAACTGCAGCAGGAGGCACAATAAACCATGATGCTTTGTCATTGTTACCGACCTATTGGTTTTTGGGGTTTTAAGTTCTTTTTTTAACTTTATGCAGTTTGGTCTCTTTGGTTTATCCAACAATCGGGCTCATGAGCTGGTGGTCGGCGAGGTGCAATGTTGGAAAAAAGGACTTCATGAGGTCACATTTGGAGGAGAAAACTATCGCTGACAAAGTCATAGCAGAGACGGCTCGTGATGGTTTGGTTTGGCAATGTGTGGTTTCGGACGAGATCGAGCGGTAGCGATTGTTATGTTTGATGTTCGGTGTGTTGATCGTACGCGAATCGGATTGGTGGCATTTCGTTTTACGTAGTGGTTGATATTTTGTTAATAATCTTTATATCTGTCATTTGCTCGCTTAATACAAGTGATTTGTTGATAAAAACGAATTGAACTCTAACTGCACCAACACCATGAACATGATTCAGCAAACCTTACAACATGAATGGTTTGAAACGGGTAGTAGATAAACGATGAATAAAATGGGTCGAAAATGAAATTGGTCAAGGCAGGGGTGAATTATGAAATGAGTCGTCTGATCCCTAGCTTGAATCGTAACCAACACACATCAATTGTAAATAGGTGTAAATAGGTGAAAACCTCAATTTCTCCAATAATTTAACTACATTTTATCATATTATGATTTCTTTCTTGGTCTTTTAATGAAAATAACGAATATTTCTAATATTTGTCGCATAAATTACATACTCATTGGGTCAACCTACCCCGACCCACGCCCCATTATAAATTACCCGCTCTATACCCGACCTGTTATGGGGCGGGTATGGGAATCGAGATACCCACCCCGAACCTGCCCAGTCATTCCTAATGATTTTCCTTACCCTTGGGAACGATTATGGATACTAAACACAAAGGAAAAAGAACAAGAAGAAAAGGTGAAAGAGAGGGAGAGATTCGGCCGCTTTCATTCTTATTGATCAGTTCAAGCCAATAAGAACTGTAACTAATTAACTAGCTAGCTGTAGGTTGCCCTGTTCCACACATAGTTAGCAACACTAAATTATGGTTAATTTAATTAATGTACTTAATTAATTAGGTGTAGTATAATTATTTGCAAGCTTATAGAATAGAAGCTTAGCTAGGTAGAAGGGGTTTGTTGTTGATGCATACAGTTGGCCGGAGATACGTTGAGCCATCGCCGTCGTGGAAGAAAACAATGCCACACCAAGCACAAGCAAAGCAATAATGGACGTAGACTACTACCATAAGCCTAGCTAAGGCTTCCTTCCAATCCAAGAAATCAAATTATTATTACTATATTAAAAGAGCAAGCAATTTTTTTACTATTTCTTAGAGTCAAGAGTGGCACTTTTGTAACTTTGTTCATCTTAACATGTGACCATTTGTAATTAACCATAAGTTTAGGGACTTTTTGGGTTATTGTAATTTTCACTACACTAATTTATTTCCTTTTCAAATGGATTCAAACTAATTCAACCCGGTTTGAACCTGGTATTTTTTGGGTCGGGAACGAGTTTTAATTTTATTTCCTTTTATTTTGTTCAGCGAGTTGAACTCGATGTCAACGATTGGGTTGGGTGTGCAATTTTGCGACAGCAACGAGTTTAAGGACTTTTAGAGTTTAGAGTTATGAATGAATTTTATCCACTTTTGTAATCATTGAATGTGACTTTTAGGGTTATGGATGAATTTTATCCACTTTTGTAATCATTAAGTTGGGTCAAGAACGCTTTATACCCGCCTTTTCCAACCCGGTATCGATGTGGCCAAATTTTAGACCGGGAACGAATTCTACCTGCTTTTGTAATTAACGAATTGGATCATTAATCAAATATTTTAAATATTTCCTCATATGACAATTGAACCCAAAAAAATTATCCACTTTTGTAATCATTAAATTGGGTCGAGAACGCATTATACCCGCCTTTTCCAACCCTGTATCGATGTTGCCAAATTTTAGGTCGGGAACGAATTTTAGGGTTACGAATGAATTTTATCCACTTTTGTAATCATTGAATTGGGTCGAGAACGCATTATACCCTCCTTTTCCAACCTGCTATCGGTGTTGCCAAATTTTAGGTCGGGAACGAACTTTACCCACTTTTACAATTAACAAATTGGGTCATTATTCAAATATTTTAAATATTTCCTCTTATGAAAATTGAACCCAAATTCAGGTTTGTTCAATCTAATTCGACTCGGTATCGGTGTTGCCGAATTTTAGTCCGGGAATGAATTCTACCCGCTTTTGTAATTAACAAATTGAATCGGTTGTGGATTTTGTTAAAAAGTCGCCCCGCTTTATCGAGTTGAATCCAGTGTTGACAAATTTTGGGTCGAGTACGAGTTTTGCCCTTGACACTAGGCGTGAATGAATTTTATCCACTTTTGTAATCATTGAATTGGGTCGAGAACGCATTTTACCCACTTTTGTAATTAATGAATTGGGTCGGGTGTGAATTTTGTTAAAAACTCGCCGCGCTATATCGAGTTGAATCCAATGTTGATGATGTTTGGATCGAGGACGAGTTTTACCCTTGGCACTTTTGGGGGCGTGAATGAATTTCATCCACTTTTGTAATCATTGAATTGGATCGAGAACGCATTTTATCCGCCTTTTCAATCTAATTCAACCCGTTCAAAGCGAGTTGAACCTGTGTTGATGATTTTTGGGCCGGGGATAAATTTTACCCCCTTTTGTAATTTTACCTGGTATCGGTGTTGCCAAATTTTAGGTTGGGAATGAATTTTATCCGCTTTTTTAATTAACGGATTGGATCGGGTGTGGATTTTGTCAAACACTCGCCCTACTTTATCAAACCGGTCAAAGAGAATTGAATCCCGTGTTTACGGG